AGCAACACCTGCATCACCTTCCACATGGCGTTCAATAAAGCCTGGATTTCGAAAAAAAGCTTTCCAACTATTAATGCCAACAGGCCAGCCCAGCTTGAACCAAACACCATCCATGGAGGACATTGACACGTGCACTTCGTGACCCTGAAATCTTTACTGTCTTAGCAAGATCCCATTTACAATTTCTCCATTCAGGAGGTCAAATCCTTTTCTCTTTAGTTTCCTCAGACCATTTTTCAATATTGTTCAAGTGTTTGTTTCCACTACATTGTCACTACATCTCTGGGTGCAGCTTTTGCTTGGACTTCGTTTTCTCTCTGGCCCCTACATCCGTGCAAAAGCAGCAGCAAAGAAAACAAGCCGCCCTTTTCCCGGTACATGCTCCAGCTGTTCCAAAGCACCACCTGCGGGAGACTGGAAGAGCTTGGGGACTGGAGACTGGAGTCATGGAAAAGGTCGCCAAACTGGAAAGTTCCAGTGGTGCATCGTCCTCGAGCTGCCGCAGCGCCCGGTGCGCCCTGGTAGCATTGACGAGACTGGAGCACAGTCATGGAGCTAAGTCTCGTCGTTGACAAAATCATGTTTGAAACATGATGATCCAGTAAGTCTTGTGGTCCAGTAAGTCGGATTACTTATGGAGCAAGTCTCCCCGTAAGTACTCCATTGTTCACTGCTCGCTGATCACGTGGAACCACGCCCCCCCGAGGACGCATCCAGGAAACACGGACACCGAGCGCACCAAGCTGCGCGGTCTGCATGTGCATCATCTCTGTGGTTATTTGTAAATGAATGACCCTGCCTCCAACCTATCCCAGACTCGAAAACGGTGGATCCGAAGGACGGTGACAACCCGGCTGCCCAAGAGGATGAATTTGATAGTAGCAAGAAGCTACGCACGGGGCTCCTGGCATCGCTACTAGGAGTATTCTTGCTACATCTTGCTACTAGTAGCTAGAAGAAACGAACGTAGAAGCCTGCACCAAACGGCGAAGAACGGGACTCCTCGACGAAGAATCAAGGCGTTGAAACCACAACGGAATCGACGGTGGAATTGACTTCAACCCACTAGTACCTCAAGGTGGCCTTAGCACTTGCTACTAGTGGCTTGTAGCTACGAGTAACTAGTAGCGATGCCCTTTGTTACAAGTAAACAAAGCGATGCACTTTGGCAATCCAACTCCGGGGGGTAGCAATGGACCCACAAATTTGTTCGACCTTCGTTTTGGAACCTAGGTTTAAAACGGAACATTTCAGCAATAGTACTGGTGGAAATTGGTGAATTTGGATTGAACCACCTCATAATTTCTACTCTGCACACTATTCATCGCTTGCCTGCCTTTTCGAAGAGGTACTGTGCATAGCCCTGATTGTCTCCTTGCGATTGTCACCTGGGCACGGTTCCCCTTTCTAACATGGCTTTGTGGCGCTTCTGGTCGTATATGTCTGCCACGCCGGCACATACCTAGCATAAGTAATGTTCATCAGTGGATGAACTAGTAGGTGGCTTGTTGCTCGTCCTGCAGGATTTTTACCTATCCAAAGGTGGCACCTCAGACCTTGTTGATCTTTCACGCAGGGTGAGGGGTTCATGACTCTGAGTTGACATACTAGGATGTCCTTCGTAGTTCGATCCATTCTGGATGGAAGGGGTGGTCTGTCTGCCAACTGGTCCGAAGCTGAGGACATCAATGCTGGTGACTCTTCCCTGTCGAATGGAACCACAGAGCTTGGCACACCATCGAGGCACAAGTTTTTTTCTCCATCTTTTCTGACCCCCAAGTTACCACCCGAATTCTGCGGAATTCTCGAATATCATCCACAGCCCCAATATCCCCAACTTGCCTTCTGTTTCGCCTACCTGGTCATCAACAAGCGCACCAAGACCAACGGCACGAGTCTTGAGCCAGAGCGTCCTGGGTTGCCAGGCTGAGCTGGGAGAGCAGCTGCGTGGTCCCCTCAGGCAGGAAAACTGACTCGCAGCCAACCTGGTGTACAGCCAACCTGGCACCCCCAGCGTTCCAAAGCATCTGCAGTGATCCCACTATCAGTTTGGATTGGACCCTACCCAATCACTGTACCCTATCACTATAAATGGAATACTGTGATTAGAGCATATTGTAACATATTGTACATACAGCGAATTCAGCTTGGATGAATCTGATTTGTTCGTTTTCTGGAAATGTCTTAGTCTTTCAATCCATTCGTTGAACCAGGATATCAGTCGTTGTCGTTGTCCGGTGATCCCATGTCGTTTCGAGAGGTGGGAGTGGTCACTTACGGAAGTGGGTGAACAGACATGGAACCCGGATGGGTGGATGATTCAAGAATAAGTGGACACAAAAGGTTTCATCTTCACCTCTGCATGTGGATCATCCAACTACACCTAGCAATAGCAGAAACATGCAAAAAAAAAGAACCATTTGACACGGCCTAGATTAGAAAAGACACTGATTCACACTTGGCCTTGCTTATGCCCAGCCCACGCCTTGTAGTGCTGTGGTTCAGCAGCAACTTCCGTCCGATAGACCACACCATCTGGCAGCTCATGCGACAAGAGTGGTAAAACCAACGATTAGACAGAATAGTTGGGGCAGAGTCGAGTTGTTTCAGATGGTTCTTGCAAGAGAACATGCCAGGTGACACTGGTAGATTCCCCAACCAGCCGAAACCAAAAAAAGAGATCGTGAAGTTCTGCGTTTTGAACCACTTGGGAGTTGCAGCAATGAAGGGGTTCGAGTCAGACCCTAAGTGTGTGGATCGTGTCCACCACTGCCATCCATAACTATATAACCCTTTTTGGAACTTGTTTGTCGACTACTTTGACCCTCTCAGTGCAATGGAATATGCTCGTACTGTCTCTCAGCGCAACAATCGCACCACTTCCAAGTGGCCATGCTCAGCTGCAGCCATCAAGGCAGTCGTCCCATTTACCTGTGCTGCATTCTTATCAGCTCCAGCCTCGAGCAACAACCGCACCACTTCCAAGTGGCCATTCCGAGCTGCATCCTTCAAGGCAGTCGTCCCATTTGCTCGCGCCGCGTTCTGGTTGGCTCCAGCCTCGAGCAACAACCGCACCACTTCCAATTGTCCAT